GGACTTGGTTTGGCCAGTGAAACACGAGGAGAAGTGACATTCAGTTGAGGACAGACACTTTCAGAGTGACTATGTACTTCCCCTTGTTCCCTGTGTGGTTGCTTAGTCAGCCTGGAACCCAGAACCAGGCAACAGCAACACAGAGCGTGGCCTGGAATTGCCATGAAGCCTGAGAGAAATAAATCTTGACTGTCATGAACCACTGCCATTTTTTGAGGGAATTATTTGTTTTTGAACCATAGCTTAGCCTATTCTGACTGATATACTATAGTTGGGCTGATTGAGAAAGTAATCTTGTGGAATTGGACATTAACTAACACTTGTCTTTCTTTTCCACCTTTTAAGTTGATTTGCATGGGAATCCCTGGGAGGTCTTGGTTGGTGAGGGATGAGTACAAGATATATTGGACACCCCATTTATCCATCTGGGTTCTTGGCACTTAAAGAGTTAGGATTCAGAATGGAAAGGACCATGGGAAGCCAAGAAACGCTCCCAGGGGCCCCTTTCCTTACTGGTTAAGGTAAATGCCAACTTTACAGAAAGATAAGATGGTTCTATTTTTCAGTCACCACAAATGTCACTATTATCACAGATGACATTAATTTTTAAGAGAAAAGGAAGAAAATATGTCACAATTCTGTTTTGTGCATATGCTGATTGAATGAAAAGTTTATACCAGATGCCAACTTAAAATAAGGACATATAAATATTTAATTGTTTGTATGTATGTATACATTTCTGTAGCACAATATGTGCCTATATAGACACAGAGTACTGGTTCTCAAGCGGGGAGGGGGTGATTTTGCTTCCTAGGGGAGGGTTGGCAATGTCTGGAGACGTATCTGATCATCCCAGCAGGGGGCAGGGGTGCTGCTGTCACCCAGCCGGGGGAGGCCTAGGATATTGCTGATCATCCTGTGGTGCTCAGACAGCCCTTGTTATCTGGCCCCAAATATCAATAGTGCTGAGGTGGAGAGATCCTGTCCCGGGTCCACACATGAAGCCAGACTCTGGGTGTGTATGTGTGTGGGGGGGTGCATATGTGTGTGGACGTGGGGTGCTGGCTCCTTTCTCCCAAGCGCTGTTGTCATGCGTCTGCTTGATGCACTTAACATGCCCCTCTTGTCTGTTTACGAGAAACCAGGGATCGCAGGCCAGAGGGCGGCCAGCCTTCATGGCCCTGAGAGACACAGTCTCGGGTACTCTGTGTTCCCTGAAAGCACACATGGGTCAGGCGCAGCTGTCCTGCTTGTTCCTCAGGATGACAACTGCTGATGACGTCTAGCATGCTGTGTGGCACACCTGGGCTGGGAGCTGCACCAGGAGAGGTGAGGAGGGGCAAGAAGGGGGCCTGAGCAGCTGCGCCATTTCCCATCTTAGGAAGGTATGAATTTCAGCTCATCGTTTTAAACATTACCCCTAAAAGAACTGCTTAGACATATTTTTTGTCTCTCTATGAAGATTCTGATTTTATAGCTATATAGGAAATATTTACACATGTATCCAATTTGTTATACACATTAGTGATGAGGCTAAATAGCTACTGTCCTCACAGTAATTAGTAATTGAGAAATTTCCTTGATGATTCACTGGCCTGGAGAGACTCTAAGGGCAAACTGGTCAGCTGGAAGCCACTTAACAAGCTGGCCTGCTGGTGAGGATGCAGGCCTATAATCCCCAGCAGCTCGGGAGGCTGAGGTAGGAGGATCACAAGTTCAAAGCTGGCCTCAGCAATGGCGAGGCCCTAAGCAACTCAGTGAGACCCTGTCTCTAAATAAAATACAAAACAGGGCTGGGAATGTAGCTCAGCGGTTGATGCCCCTGAGTTCAATCCCCGGTACCGCCACCCCCCTGCTGCCAAAAAAAAAAAAAAAAAAAAAAAAAGAGGGCGGCTCTGTATTATGCTGTCATTATAAAAGAAGAAGAACAGCCAGAGGGTGGCTGTAGGTAGCTTGTCAGGCAGTGTGCTCAGAACCACCCCAGGATAACTCTCCTGTCCCTCTGATACTTTCCGTAGCTGGTTTGTGCCGCTGGTGGGAAGAGGCTGGGCTTTGTGACCCATCCACGCAGTGTGTGTAGAGGTGCAGTGTGGTGCGGGCCTGAGGCTGAGCATGCTGGGGCCTTAGTCCGTGACCAGGAAGTCTCAGGGAGGCCTGGGACACCTGCGAGGCAAGGGTTAGTGGTTCTGGTCATGTGGATCTAGACTCTAAAGGGGCTGGGGCTCCAGCTGACAGTTGGGGAGCCACATATACTCCACCAAATGGTTAGAGCAGCTGCTAACTTACTTCCACAGCTTGGGGTGGGAGATACTGGAAAAGCACTTGGGCCAAGCAGAGCCAAGGATCTTAGGCAGACAAAGTCACCAAGGGATGATTCCAGACACAGCTGCAGAAGTGGGACTAAAACTTCCAGGGAGGAAAATTCCTGAGATTTCTCACCCATGTGCAGGGTTAGTCTTTCCCATTTGGGAACCTGGGCCAGGGTGAGAGGAGGCGGGGCTTATGGCATCCTGTCCTGGACTGCTTAATTCTCCTGCAGGTACTCAGGGGCTGGGTGGAGAGGCCTGTCAGCAGCACACCCTGCTGATCTGTGAACTCTTGCTGAACACAGAGCGAGCGCTGTGAGGTGGGGGGCGGTGAGGCTCTCCCATGCTGCAGGCCAGGTCCTTACTCTGAGTTCCCCAACCTGGGGCGTTTTAGCTGGGACCTGAGGCGGGTACCAGGGATGGCCCTTAACCTCATTCTTACCTCCCTCTAGCCTTGCCACACTATAAGTTTGGGAAGATAAAAAATGACCTTTCTCAGACTGCCTTGCAGCCAGAGCTCTGACAGTGAACTTAGTTCTGCTTATTAGATTCCATCAGGCTGAGATTTGGATGCAGAAATGAAGTGAAGGTCACTTTTCATGGCTTTCTGTGGCTATGTGGGCAGGAGCTGGGGGACACGTCTGTCTCAGTGGGGTCCCTGCTCCGGCCTTGCTGAGTGGAGTGGAACAGTCAACATGGCTTTGTGACTCTGAGGTCTGGATTTGGATCCCTGGCCCACAGCTAAGGGACAGGGTATGGGCCTCCTGATTCTGCACCTTCCTGCTGCGTCTCCTGATGGGTCAGCTCTGTGGGTATTCAGAGAGACAGTCTTGGAGGCCCAGGCAAGACCCAGTTGCCCTAGGCCTTCCTATGGAATTTTTGTTTGTTTGTTTGGTTAACAAAAATAAATCCCTGTATTGCATCATTTTCTGTTGGCAATAGCTACACCATTTCCGTTGACTGACACAGGACTTTACAAGGGCAGCCACAGAGCAAGGAGAAGTACTGAACTGGCACATTGGACTTAGAGCTACAAAGTTCTCAACCCCAGAGAGCCACAAAGTGGGTAGAGTGGCTTCCAGTTGGTCAGCACTTCCTCCTCGCTAAGGAGCGAGGGTGACCCTGTATTCTCATGATGGAGGGGACTGTCCCTCCTGCTCTGGGCCACTCAGTTCCTGCCTTCTGGACTGAAGTCCGGAAGCAGAAATGCCTGGGTATAAAGTTTAAGGAGGCCCTCACTCTCGGGCTGTGCAAGAGCAAGGTCAGCCACCAAGAGTGAGTGACTCCTTAAATTTTGTACCCTGAGTGCCTCACTAGCCTGGTCTTGGCTCTGCTTAGAAGTCAGGTCTGGGTGGGTCTTGTTGGCCTCCGTGCTCTGTGCAGAGACTTCTCAGCCTCTGCTGAAGCTTCTCTTGACCCATAGTGTGTAAGAACTTTCTCTGGAGGGGTTTTGAGGCTGCCCTGCTCCTGTGCCCACGTGAGGGTTGAAGTTTGAGAAGCTCTCTGTGTTCCTTCTGCTGTGTTGTCCTGGTCCCACTATTGGGACAGAGTCCCTGAGGCCCCAAACTTAAAATGGTCCCCACTAACCCACTAGCCGCACCAACACGAGATTTTTGTGACACATCATTAGACACTCCCACAGACAGAGTGCTGGGGACAATAGCTACACCATTTCCTGGGAAGTGTAGCTGGGGACATCCACCTGTAAATTCTTCATGTCAGTACCCAATCATGAGGTCGCATGAACCGAAGTATAGCATTCCAAACAACGGAGAGGAGAGTTCTGCTCCACTTTAGCTGGTCAGATGTGTCTGGAGAGATCAGGATTCCAAAGGGAAACTGAAGGACTGGAGCCATTGAGAGGAGAGCAACTGGCAAAAGGGTAATCAACACACAGGCAAGGACAGGATGCCCGACTTTAATAGGAAGTGCGAATGAAAGCAGCAGAGTGGGAAAGCTCTGTGTTCACCTATCGGATCGTCAGAAATCAGAACCGCGGGTGCTCCCAGTAGTGGGACCTGGAGTTCAGTGCTGTCTCCTCTCAGCAGCCATTGGCTGAGAGGAGCAGGGAGGGCAATGCCAAGAGCAAGCTGGTAGTTTTTAAAGGAAGGAAATTATAGTGGGCTCTTCTTGCTCTGGCTCACGATGCCCACAGGCCTAGTGAAGGGCAGATAGCCAAGCCGTGGCTGCCCTTCCATCCTGTCTACTGTTGCCTCTTATCTGCTTGGAAGGCTCCCTGGGAGCTCAAGGGAGCAGTTGCTGAGGCGCCTGGCAGGGCAGGAGAGCTGGCCTTTCTCTGCTTGGAGATAACCGCCTCAGAAGCCATTCAAACAGCGCCATTCTGCTTGCATGTGCTTTGACGATTGCCCAATCTGGGTTTCCAGAAAGCCCTGGGAACAACTGGGAGCTCCTGTGGAGTGGGGTGGAGGACGCCAGCAGACATACTCAGGAGCTGGCCTTACCTGCTGTCACCCGAAGGAAAGGGGGTCCCTGGGTGCTGGGTGGAGACAGGGTGCTGGGGCCAGGGTGGGCCCAGAGCGACAGGAGGCGGGAGAGGGGAGCTCTTCACATGAGGGCTGGGGAAGCGCCACTGCGCATGCGCCAGAGGGGAAGGGGAAGGGGAAGTGGGAAGGGGCTGCTGTCTCACCGGGAGGAGGCCCTGGGTGGCTCTGCGGTGAGGAGGTAAGTCTGACCTTGGCCTCGCTGTCTCAGTGTGACCTGAACCTATTGGCTTAACCATGGGAGTTCCAGGGTGCTGGCTGTCAGGTGGTGGCACTCGTCCCAGAGTGTAAGGTTGAAGTGAGAACATAGGAAGCCGGGTTGAGATGTTTCGGTTATCACACACATGCAAAGGGCTGGGCCGCGCACCTCTTCCTCCTGAGCGCGTGGTTCTCGCTTCTCCAGCCTGAGGTCTGATCCTTTCCCTGGCTCCTTGTTACTCTGTCCCCAGCCTTACTGGCCTTCCTTTAGACTGTAGAATGAACTGTGCTCTTTCCTTCCTTGGTCCCCTGTTCCTGCACTGCCCTTCTATCCTCTGTATGTCTGGCCGGGAGAGCTCAGCCCAGGCACCCCTCCTCAGGGCAGCCCTTGGTGATCCTCCAAATGGGCCAACTCTTCTTTGTAGCCACATGAGCCAAAGCACGCCTTCCTCACTGTGCTCACCTCCACTGCCGTTTACATGCATTTGTACGTCCCCTGTCTCATGGGGGCATGTCCTGAGGACAGTCAGGCAGCCCTACCACAAGGCTCCCCAGGAGGAACTGAACCCTTAGCTGGTTCCCACCCACAGCCATGTGACTGAGCCACCTTGAAGAGTATCCTCCAGCTGTGTCAAGCCCTCAGATGGCTGCAGCTGGAGGTATTGGGCCAGAGCCACCCAGCCAAGCCACTCCACCTCCTGACCCTGGGACTCAAGAGCCAATATGTGATGACTGCTGCTTCCAGCAGTAGGTTTGGGGTATTTGTTACACCAAATAGACAACTAGTGCAGATCCAGGTGCCTGGAAGTGGGGTGCTACCATGACAAATGTGGGGGTGGCTTTGGGACTGGACATGGGCAGAGCTGGAGGGAAAGGCGTTTGAAAACTTAAAGGGAGTGTTTTAGTCAGCTGTTTTTTGCTGCTGTGACTTAAAGACCTGAGCAGAACAATTATAGAGGAAGAAAGGTTTATTTAGGAGCCCACGGTTTCAGAGGTCTAAATCCATAGACAGCAGGCTCCCTTCCTCAGGGCTCGAGGTGAGGCAGAATATCATGGCAGAGGGAAACAGCTCACATGTTGATCAGGAAGCAGAGAAGGTCTCCCATCGTCAGAGACAAGTATATACCCCAAAGCGACGCCACCAGTGAACCACTTCCTCCAGCCACACCTCACCTGCCTCCAGTTACCACCCAGTTAATCCCATCAGGGGGGTCAATACACTGATTAGGTTAAGGATGTAACCCAGCCATTTCTCCTTCAAACCTTCTTGCATTGTCTCACATGTGAGCTTTTGGAGGACACCACATCTAAACCATAGCAGGGAGTTCAAGAGACTCTGATGACCTCCTTGAACATCAGTAAGAACAGAAAAGAAAGTGAGGACATGTTATTGGAAAATGGAGGACAAAGGTTCTTTAGTATGCTATCATAAAAAGTTCAGCAGTGCTGCCACTTGTAACCTGGAACCCAGAGCATGCTCCTAATGAACTGGTGACCAGGCGTGGAGTTTCAGGCAGTGTTGGAGTATCATTACTGGGAAATAGTGGGACTGGATTCTAACCAAGGAACTGTGGACATCAGCTCTGCTGGATTTCAGAATTGCTGTGGACCAGGACTCCTGCAGACCTCCTGTTTCCCCCCTTTTTGAGCAAGGAGAGGGAATCCAGAACAACTATCCCACCATCAATTCCTATCCCACCATGGAAGCTGGGTGTGTGGGGTGCAGGTGATTTGCCTCTTAAGCTGGGAGTCCTCAGTTTGAGAGAAACTATCCTCAAGGCACCGCAGGCCCATTGCTACCCCCAGATGTGATTTGGATGATGAGACCCTGAACCTGCAGCATATGTGGTTGGGAGCCATCTTGGGAGCTTTGGAAGCCTCAGGAGTGCGGTAATTGTAATGTTGAAGGGATGTAAGTTACTGGGGGCCAGAAGACCATGATTCCAAGTGTCTGAGATGTCCCCAGTGAGCCCGCCTCAGGGTACGCATTCCCTTTGTTGTTCCCTCCCACAGTGCATTCAACCTTTGTGACCAACAGACTCTGTGGAGATGGTGCAGCTGTGACTGCTGAGATTGCTCAACAGCTGTGTTCATGTTAGTCTCTTGGACGACTTGCCCAGGGAGACATCAGCCACCATGTCAGGAGGACACTCAAGCAGTGCACGAAGAGGAACTGAGGCCTCTAGCTGACAGCCAGAACCAACCTGCCAGCTGTGAGAAGGAGCCACTCTGGAAATGGACTTTCCATTCTCTACCCCCAAGGTCAAGCCCTCAGGGTCTGCCATCTTGGCCAACAACGTAGCTTCCACCCCATGAGAGACCCTGAGTCAGGACCTGTGGGGGATCAAAAGTGACTGCCATTGTTTTGGACCACTAGTTTGTTAGGCAACAGTAGAGGATAGCATAGGCCCCTTCTGCCAGTTTTCTCTTTTCCGGCCTTCTTTATTTTGGTTCGGTTGGCTGGCCTTAGCCTTGTGTCCACACACCTGAGCAACCAGGATGAGGGTAAGGTGAGGCAGGCACCCAGGCTTCCTTCAGTTTTATGCCCTGGCTGCCTGAGCTTCTCACCCTCGTCTGGCCCTGTATCTGACTTCTGCACAATCCCATAAAAGGCCAGTCCTGGTGACCTTGCCCTTGACCTAGCTGCCTGACTCTACTGCTGGTCCCTGTGCACCTGCCTTACTTCCTGTGGAGAAACCTGCAGGTTTTATGGTTTATTAGAGCTGAGGGTAAACCCCTGCTGTCCATTAAGAAAGTAGGTGGAGAAACGGAGGGGTTGGCCACCACCAGTTGAGGACGCCCCACATGGACCTCACCGTGGCCCTTGCACCAGCCCTGAGGTGAGTGGAGAGGGCTTTGGCTGGGAAGAGTGGGTGGTTGGTAGCACCTTGACCTTAGAGGGGAAACAGGCCTCTGTGCAGCCCCAGAGTGGGCCAGGAAAGGATGGCCTTCCTCGGGGTAGGGAAGGGAAGCCCCCCTGGAGCCTGGCTGGGACATTCTTCTGAAGGAACAGAAGAAAAATCACACTAGTAACACATCAAGTGACTCCTGCACATGCTTCCTCTCATTCAATTCTCCTGACAGCCAAACCCACCTGTTTCTGGTCCTCAAAATAAGCTGAGTCCCTCACCCCCAATTCCTCAAATCTGCAAAGCTCTGACAACCAAAAGATTTTTGAGGACAGAACTGAGGTGCGGTTATATTTGGTCTTCATCATCCCATTGACTGTAAATATCAGAATGCTTCCCTACAGAAAGATCAACGTGTTTGTTTGCAGGGTGCCCCCCCAGAACCCACTGGGTGTTGGGTCATGCACCAGGTAACTTTTCTAAAATCTAACATTTCTGACTTTTGAAACATCTGGTCCGAAGATAAAGCACAGCGGCCCTGAATTATTTCCATTTTTACCTACGAGGAAAACTGAGTTTCCTTGAAGAACAAACCTAGCCCAGAACCAGGAAGCTTCCAGGGCAGGTGCAGATTTGAACTCGGGGCTCTCAGCCAGCACATCCCACTCTCTCAACCCAGGAATGAGCCCTGGGCTCCTTACATGCCTTTGAATTCACAAGTTTAGTGAGACAGTGTTTGCTCCCTGCACGGTGACAGTCTGTCCCATCCTCTTGTCCTAAGGAGCGTGATGGCCCCGGGCCTGAGACTGCCATCCACTCCTCGACCCACCAATCTCGAGGCCCATTAGATCTGGCACTCTGAGATCTTCATGGAGCCCGTTCAGTCGTTTTTGTAATGAACTTCAAAAAGCTTTCTGTGTTTGGGGTATTTATTGTTCCTGGACCCAGTGGCAAGCGGAGATTTATCCTCAGAAAGCCTGGGGTTTAATGAAGCTTTTTGTAGTACAAATATGTTCATGTGACTGAAATAGAATAAGCTCTTGGGCATTTCTTCTCATTGTCCCCTTTTGTGTCATCTCTCCCTCACTCCAAACCCTTGCTTATCCTCTGGCCCTGCCAGAACTTCCCTCTGATCCTATTCTCCTTCAGTAATTAACTCATCCAACAAGCACTCAGTGAGTCCCTGTGGCTGCAGACAATGTGGTAGAAGAGGTTTTATGGCTTATTAGAAGAGCACTGGTCGGACAGACAAAAGATCGAGGTCCTGGTGCTGTAAGCATTTAGACAGGGCCCTTCTCTGCTCCGGACCTCCGCTTAACCATGTGTGAAGTAAGAAGATAATTGAGAGGGTGAAAAACACATCAATCACAAAGTGCAGAAACTTCAAAGATTCAACAATAAAGGAGTATGGGCTTTATTGTTTGACCAGTCTGACCAAGGACTCTGGCTCTACAGTTCTCTTGATTTAGACTTTCTCTGGGAATCCTTTTAATCTTTAGGGTGGCTTGCCTCATAATTACAAAAAGGCTGCCAGTGACATCTCCAATCATATGCTTCACAGCCATGGAGAGAGAAGCAGAGCTACTTCAGGCATTAAGCATATTACCAAAGGGATTGTTTAGAGCCAGGCCTATTTTGATTCATAGGTTTGTTCTCCTGTGAATCAGAGCCTGGCCTGGATAAGTTATAAAATATTTTGACCATCACTCCTGGAAAGAGAGTATCATTAGCAATCATCAAGCAAATGTCTAGGATTTTAAGCTGACTGCCATATCCTAAGTTACCCATGCCAATCCCCATGGTCAGGGCGGGGGCCAGTTAGGATTGCCCCAGGTGGCTTAGAACAGTTGGGACCTCCCCTAAAACTGGGGTTCTGCTCACGACCTCCCCTAAAACTGAGTTCTGCTCAGACTGTGTGGTTACTGCACCATGGATGGTAGCAACAATTTGGGGGTTGTGTCCAGGGGTGCAACTAAAATGTGTCTTTTTATCTTTCCCACTTCCCTCTCTCACTCTTCTTCACTTCTACATTTGCACTTCTGATGCACGACCTTGCAAAGTGTTTTCGCTTTCCGCCACTGTAACAAAACACCTGAGGGAATCAACTCAAAAGGAGAAGAGATTTCCTTTGACTTATGGTTTTAGAGGTTTCAGTCCGTGTTTATGGCCCTGCTGTGTTGGGCTTGTGGCACATAGGACATCATGGCCCGAGCACTTGGTAGAGGAGGCCTGTTTACCTCACGGGGTCCAGGAAACACAAATATATAGAGATGAAGAGATAAAGAGATAGGGAGAAAGAGGGTGAGCACACGCACCTTGGTGTCCCCATATCCTTTCAAGGACATGCCCCCAGCGACCATCTTCCTCCAACGAGGTCCCATCTCCTCAAGGTTCTACCACCATCCAGCAGCACCATAGGCTGTGGCCAAGCCTTCAATACACGAGACTTTGGGGACATTTAAGATCCTTCAGCACAAAGGTTACCTCCCACCTTAATATTCTGTTGAGCACCCTTTTAGTTTAGGTTAGCGGTATTGTCTGGGGGCTCCTACCACTGTCTAGATTTCCACCCTCCATTTCTAGTCCTTCATGAATGTCCTTCTGAATCTGTGGACAAGGAGAAGTAGAAACCCAGGTATGGGCACTGCCGGTTTGCAGCATCTCCTGGGCTGAGCAGCGAGGGGTTTGCTGAGGGTGAAGCCTCTGTGTCTGAGGCCGCCCCTCAGCGTGGCTCACAGTTGGTATGTAACACCCGACTTTGATTCAGCTTTTCAAAATGTAAGACTAATAAATGGCTCATTGTAAAAACTTCCGATGGCTATGTGGAAAACGCTCTTTCCTGTCTAATACCTCTGCTTCCCCATTCCCAGTGTCAATCAGAGTCACATGTTCTCCCAGTTATGTCCTATTACACCTCCTGATATGTACAAACATTAATGTGTGAGTGTAATCAAAACCTCCTTCTGTCTGTAGGAATCTTAGTGGGAATGTGTTTGTTAAATGAACAAATGAATACCTAAAACAGCAGGAATCTCTGCCTGGGGACAGTTAGGGGGTGAAGCCTTATGCCATCCACAGCGGCCAGTCAGAACAACAGAACCCATTATTTTAACAAAGAGGTTTTAAAATAGAGAACTGAGGACTGGAAAGAAGCAGTGGCCATGGAGAACAGAGACAGTAACTTCACCCTAAGAGCAAGGGACAAAGAAAGAGATGGGGGTTTCTAGAAGTTGGAAGCTCACAGAAAAAACTGTGCAGAGCTGGAGCTACTACTTGTAGGCTGGGGCGCCGGCAGACTGCTGCTGATGTCTCTCAGGGGGCATGTGCCATGGTTGGTTCTGAGTGTGTGACACGAGAGATGAATTGGAATCCACTGTGGCTGCTGGTGAGAAGAAGGCTGGCGGGCGATGCTGCCAGGAATAGGAAGCAAACAGTTTGGATGCAGCCCCTCCTTCTCCTCCTTCCTCCTGTGGTCCTCCCAGCATTATGAGGAGGGAGCCAGGAGGTGAGTAGCTGGCAGTGTGGTTGGCAGGAACCCCCTGCAATGCCGCAGAGTGAAGGAGTGAAGGGCCCCCCGGAGCACCACGGCAAGGGTTAATCGCCGGCTCAGCCTGCTTCCTCTCACTGAGAGCCTTTGAGCAAGAAAAAAGTGCCCCTCTGGGCAGAAGTGACCTGTGTCAGGGAGAATGTTTGGTGATCAGAGGAAGGCACTGTGCTACATACACCAGGATGTCCTGCTGGGCAGGGGAATAGAGACTGGAGTTTAGTCCCGAATGTCCTCTTGACCAGATGCATGCATACAGGCCACAGCCCACACGCTCATTCCCCACCCCATGTGTAGTGACCCTGCATCTGCCCAGCTACAGGCAGACAGTGCATTCTGTGATACATGGACGTAAATATTAGACACAAATCCAGGCGCTGTAGAGAAGTGCTTCTGCAGACAGATTCCTAGAAAACAGAGACGCCACTTCCAGCCAACCCAGGCCAGGAGGCCATTTCTAAGGAATCTGTGCTGAGCGGGTGAGAGTTTGGGGAGTTAGGCAATTCCAGGAGGGAGGCACTTTCCAAATTCTTCAGAATTAACTTTTGGATGGGATGAGATTCTAGACATGATCTGTCCTTGAGGATGATGATCATCGTGATAGTTAGGTTAGGCTCTCTGGAATCAGACTTAGACAGGGTGGGGGTGTGAGAAGCTGGGGTACTCATGGGAGACACACCTGTGGGGAGGGGAGGAGGCAGGTCCACCCGAGGGACGAGGCAACAGCCAAGGCTCAGGCTGGTGCTCTGGGAGCTCCGGAGCTAGGATGGCCCTCCAGAGCGTCTCCAGATGAGGTAGGAAGGTCGGCCATTCATTGGCCGTGGCCCCCTCAGGAGGAGTGCAACCTTGGAATGGGCAGTTTGCTGCAGCCTAAGGCAGTTTCTAGTGAGAGAAGCAGAGTCTTCCAAACAGTCAGCTGGAGGTTGGTGCGTTGGCTCTGAGGAGGAGACCTTGGCAGCAAACCACAGTGTCCACTTCAGGAATGATAATAATAAGAAGGGCCGCCATGGTTGCCACCCATTGATCACCTACACCGAGCTGGATGCTTTGTGCGGAACCCTGGTCCTCCCACGCCTTCCCATCACAGTGAATGGCACCCACATCCAACCCCACGGCTCTGGACAAAATCGTTGGTGTCATTCTTGATCCTTTCCTTTTCTCCCCTTCCTAAATTAGGATCCATCAGTGGGATTTATTGGCTCTCCCACCAAAATATACCCTGAATCTGTCAACTTCACTCCACCCCTATCACTTTCGTCCAGCTCATCAGTCTTCCCTGGCCACCTGTCACGGCTCCCTGACTCTCTCCGACCTGGATGTCCTGCCATCCATTACTGTTCACACCACAGCTAGAACGGCCTCAAATATCATTCTTCTGAGCAAAGCTCTTGAATCACTTCTGCTGTACTTAACACAAAGACCTAACTTCTTACCATGAATGATTTTATTGGCTCCATCTCAATCTCCATATTTTTCCTGACTTGCCATACCAGCTCTCTCTTGATGCCTTGAACATGTCAGGCTCATCCTCGCCCCAGAACCCTTACTGTAGCTCTTCCCTCTGCCTGGAATGACCTTCCACAGAGCCTGCTGGGCCCTCCTTGTCATTCAAGCCTCAGCTCTCCCATCACTTTCCTAGTCAGGCCTCCCCTGACTATTCCAGTTCAACTGTTATGGAGACCCTGGTCCAACCTGGTGTCAAAGACCAGGCTCCCTCTTTCAGCCTGGGGCCAAACCTCCCTCTGCGCATCACAGTCTGACAGCAGGCTATGTCCTTTGGTCTATTTTCAGGATTCCAGGGTCGTCTGGAGATGGCTATGGCACATCCCAAGTGGACACTGCATAGACGGAATCAGGAGACATAACTCGGCTTTGCTCCTGCCAGTGAAACAGTCACCTAGTGGAAAAGAAAAGCCCTCCACCACTGAATCTATAATTGCACCGGAAACTGCCCAGCCCTTGGTGGAACAATGAGGGAAATCTCGTTACGGGTCTACCGGCCTGGGGCGAGCAGAAACAAAGATGAGGTTGGAAATATTTTTAACATGTGTGTTTTCTTGGGTCATTAAAAGAGAAAAACAAGTTCCAACACTGTTTGAAGGAAACCATCATCCAATTTACAAGTACTTATTGGGTTCTGGCTGTGGCCAGAAGGACTTGGGCGTGGCTTTGGAGCCACTGGGATGTGGTAAGGTCCCTTTTGTCAGGGACTGACATCTAAGAAGGGAGATAGTGCAGAGGAAAGGGGGCCTGGGGACCACGGCCATGGGGATCCCATGCTGCCTCAGTTTCTGTGCTAGGGGGGCTTATTTATTCGAGCTCCTGACAAAGAGACAGCAGGCCTGGGATGCCTTGAACCAAGGGCCTGGGTGGGTGTTGAGGGCAGAATTCCTAGACAGGGAGCAGTGGGCTCCATGGAGCCCTGGAGGTGAGAACAGTCTTCCTGCAGATGACGGACTTGGAATGGATCCCAGCGAAACTGCGGGCTTTAAACGAGCAGCAGCGGAATAATGGGCCATCTCATCCATGTCTTCAGCAGCCTCTGTTTCTCTGTCCTTCTTGTCTCCCCACCATTTCCCTCCCCAGCTGGGGAGCACGCAGGAATGCCTTGCTGTGCCCCGTCAGCGCCCTACCTAGCTGATGTGTGATTATCTCCAGCAAAACACACACCAGAGCCGGTGTCTCTTGGCTGGGAAACACGTTGGCACCTTGGAACTGCTTCTTGGAAAAAGCACACAGTTGGTGTGTGACCTTCTCATTGATGCCTCTGGAGGAGGCGGGATGCCGGGGTGAAGTGGAAAAACATGGGCTGGCTTCAAAGTGGAGCATGGGGAGGCTGAGAACCGTTCTGCTTTGTGAACAAAGTCAGGTGAAAGGCACAGAGAGAACATGAGAGTGAGGCAGGGAGAGAGTCAGCACTTGCTAATTTGAAGTTAATTTTGAATTGCCTTGAAAATCACCATGCAGCATCCAGTTCTGCCTTTGATGGTCGAAAGAAAGCAGCTGCTTTTATTCCTCTTCAGGACTTGTTTTCCCCCCAGCAGTGAGGCAAATTAGGCTGAGCAGCAGTGGAAGTTGCAGTCAGTATAATTTCCCAGGAAAAGGTCAGGCTAATTGTTGGTGAGGAGCTAATGGAGATGGGGCACACTATGGGTGGTGCCGTTTCCCCCATCTGCTCCATCCTGCTCCCGGTAATGGCTCTTTGGCATCCTCAAAGAGCCAACTCGGCTGGCTTTGTTACAAACTGAGGCCCCTTGCCCTAACCACCAGTGCTCAGCATGTAGGGGGACACGAGGCAGGGGAGATAGGTTCTCTTTGTCCACGTAGGGCAACAGGAGCAGCAAATGTTGACACATTCAGCAAGATTCCCTGTGACGCTGCTGTTTATTTGCAACTTGAGCAGCTCAGGTGATGGCCCAGGAGGAAAGCCTCGCTTATTTCGGCTGCCTTCTTTTGGTCAACAACTCAGTTGTAAAAATCAACATCATGGCGGCTTCCTTGAAGGTTAGTGCACACCTATCTCATATGCACCTCGGCATCAAACATAAACCGCTATTTGGGAAGCTGGCCTGTGCTGTTCGCAGCCTTTGTAGAGCTGTTTTGAATGTGCAACATGCTGCCGGGATGTCCCCTGCCCCAGAGAAGGGACAGGGAGGGGATTGATCCCGTGATGGGTGGAAGATGGAAAAAGTGTCATTTCAAAATCCCCAGTGGTTCCTCTCTTGACAGAGGTACAGAATTTCATCTGTAGGGCAGACTTGTCCTTATGCTGTTGAGATCACCCTTGGGTTCAGGAAGTAAGTTGGCGCCTACTGTTTTGGGAAGCTGAGAAGTAACTGAATCAGATATTTTAGATGAGCGCGAGGGAGATTAGCTTGTGACAGATGTTTATGCCACAGCTGGGTCATTCCTTTCTGTTTCCACCTCTTCCTTCCTTTCTTCCTGGCCTTTGACTACACTTCACTCAGAATTCAGATTCTACCCGATCCTTCCTAGGAATGATGTGGCTTTCTTTCCTCCTCCAAATGGAGGCCTGGCAGAGTCAACTTAGCTCAGACTCGGCCACCTGGATTCTGTTTATGGATTTATATGATCTCTGGCCTTCGCATAGTGACCACTGGATGAGTAGACCTGGACCTCTTCCAGGGGTCCACTTGAGCCAAAGTCGGGGATATAATGTGTCTCTGCATGTTTTATGATAGTGCTCTTGACTCTCTTACATCTGGGCAGGAATATGAGCAGAGGTTATTGGAAAGAGGGTGACATTGGTATCTGCTGGGCTGATATGATGGGCAACAGCCCTGGCACCCCGGGCAGGGAAACCTCAGACCTGCACTTGTCCTTAGAGGTCTGGGATGGTGGAACATGAATGAGATTTTTCTTTCTGAACCATTCTTGGAGACTTCATCACAGAAGACACTTCCCTAGTATGGTTCTCCCAGACCTTCGAGTGCCTTCCATTAACTGGCTGCTGGGCCTATCCGTCCCCTGCAGCTGGCTCTGATGGTGATTTTGTCCCCATTTCCCATGTCCCTTGTCCTGCACTTCCCAAGCAAGGCACCTGTTAACAGGTGTCTGGACATCTGCCCCACACCTATTCTTAGTGTCTTTACCCAATCACTCCTTGAGGTGGGTGAGTGTCACCTGACGAGGGGTGTGGACTGTCAGAACTGGTTGGATAGACACCCTGGGGGAGGCTCCAGAAACTAGGGCTGCACTCCATGCTATGCCAGCTGAAACTCTGACAGCTCGTCCGGCCACCCCTGAGAGACTCCACTGAAGGCAGCCAACCTATGCCCCCCACTGATGTGGCTCCCACTTGGGGGTCCCCAATAATTCTAAATAATAACCTTCTTTTTAGGGTCACCATGTGTACCTCTGGGACTCCACTTCTTTTGTGGAAGCCAGACATTAACTTGTCTCCTGGCCTGATCCTTAGAAGTCGTCCCAAGAGACCTGCAAGTGCTTAAGCAAGCAGCCCTGGAAGGTGATCATAGTTACCCTGGGAGCTTCCCACAGGGGCAACTATTGCTGTGTACTCTGTGGACCGTTTTCTCTATAATGGGAGTCCTCCTACAAGAAAGGGGACTTTGAATTTGTCCCCATTTGGCCCTAGGTTCTAGAAGGCAGTCATGTCAGCCTGGACTCACTGGTCAGTACTGTCACAGTTGATGGAATGTCCCGAGTCTTTTTCCTTGCAGGCCAACGTGGAGCCTGTGCAATCCCTACTTCTCTGCTTGGATCCCTGCCTGGGTCCAAGTGGAAAAGTGAGTCCAGTGACAGAAGGAGGACTCTACTTTGCTCCTTTAAGATAGACCCTGAGTGCATGTGCCTTCCATTTAGATGACTGGGCCTATGACGCTCTGAGGGTGTGGCTGGAGTCCTGTTGGCCGAGGCCTTAATTAAATGCTGGAGGAGAATAACTGAACAGGTTTGGTCCCACCCTCTTTTGGTCAAATTAGAGTGGCTTATCAAGTAGAATTACTCAAAGGGAGACTTTGCCAGAAGCTAAGACTGTAAAAACGAGGAGTGGATATTGTTGGGAGACAATTCTGCATGGGTCTTTTGAATTTCTGCATGTTTTTGGAGCAGAGGCATGGACAGCCTTTGTTCCAGATGATCTTTTCAAGGATGTTGTATTACAAACAACCTTGGCAGATAGTGTCTCTCATCAGAGCCAAGGGCAGGCAGGCTTAGTGTTCATTTGAAAAGATTTACCTTCCCTACGTGGGGGGGGGGGGGTCTCTCTCCTGTGATGCAACCCCCTGTGCAGGTGTCATCTGGCCCTGATTGTGTTGTCTTATGAAATTTGGGGCTTAGGGAACCAATACAAGAAAATGCTGCTACTCTGGCCCTGCTACTTCTATGAGCAATGAACTCCTTTGTCTCTGACCCGGGAGCCTTGTATCTTCTGCCAGATGAACACCTCTGCTCTGACCCGGGAGCCTTATATCTTGCGCCAGCTTCTATGCAACTGCAGCAAGCTCATTGTTAGTTTGAAATAGGATGATATCTCAAATACCTCACAGGTCCAGGCTGTGTCTGGCTTGGGCCACCCTGAATGTACTGTGTATGTGGACATTATCTATTGTGGGCATCCCAGGAAGATAAAAACAGAGAACCACAGCCTCAAGTTGTGCTAGCCTGAACTGGGTGGCATGGGGCAGTCACCATCTGGCTCTTCCCCTGCTCAGTGCATGCAGTCAACCCTACATAAAGCTCTGGAAGGTTGGCTGGAGAGGGCTGGGGGCAGCCTCTGGGGTCCAACCGTGTGAATTTCTACCACAATTCTCCACGTGTCATAGTCTCTGTTTTCCCATCTGTCAAGCAGGGATAACAGCAGCACTCGCTTCTGAGTGGTTTTGTGGGGACAAATAGTTGAGTTGGCACAAACAAGCCCTGATAAAAGTGGTGATTATCATTTCCTCAATGACCTCACCGCTCCTACCTTGACTTATTCTTTGTACGGCTGTCTCCCCCTCTTAACATCCTGTCTATAATCTAAGTTTATCTCTTCTCCTCTGAAATTGGCCAATTTACATGGCACCCCTCACCACGGTCTCTGAATGTGCCTGTAATCTAATTAGACTAATTTCAATTTCCTGGATTTAATTACTTTTAATTCAATTAATTTAGAATGCAGTACACAAGGTGATTAATTAGGAAACATTACTGAGAGATTCGGAAGGTGAATTGCAGTGTGTAAGTGTTTAAGTATCATTGTGGCCACAGCCACCCATTGTCACTTTGCACAGGAGACCACCAAGACCCTGGGAAGGGCAGAGTTGGAGAAGCTGGCAGGAAAGGGACTCAAACGGAAGCCTCCTGGCACCAAGCACAGAGCCCTTTCATCATGTGGCTTCCAGCATCTCTCAGGGGAGGCAAAAAGGAGCAGTTGATTCCAGTTACAAGCAAGTCGGAACTGAGGCATGAACTGTGGGAGGTGAGGACAAAATTTGTCTTTCAACAGAGTGATATTTCACAGTGTGCTTTTTCTGTACATGGTATGTAAGCCAACCTTAGTGCTCCCTCTGAGCTACCATGCATATCCCTTTCTTCCCCTTTCTTGGCTATTCAGGTGTACTGAGTACCTGGAATAATGAATAAAAATAATCTTAACAAAGATGTATGGAGTGCTGCATTCCAAAAACTGTTCCACATGTGTTTATATTGATCTGCTCATTTAATTGTCATAGAAGTTAAGACACACGTCTCTTAGTGATGGGGACACTTTCCGAGAAATGTGATGTCAGCCCATTTTGTCATTGTGTGAACATCACGGGGTGTGCCTATGTAAACTAAGATGGCTACGACATCACTTAGTGACAGAATCTAATGGAACCACCATTGTGTATGTGTTCTGTCATTGACCCAAACATCCTCATGCTGTGAATGAAGTACTCTTATGTCCTCTGTCTAGGGGAGGAGGCACAGAGCTAGCTAATTTATGTCATCCTAAGGGACTAACCATAGTGAATTTCAGGCTATAGCAGGCGGGTATGGGAACAAATGAGGGCTGGTCACTGTTTTGGGTGGTCGTTGTTTTGCCTGGCCACTTCCAGGAGGTGATAAGGATCACATCACTGGTAAAGCCCCTGCTGGTGACCAGGTACACTTCAGATGCTTGGCATGTGTTGATTGAGACATGGCTTCTCCACCTCTGCTCCCTGGAAGGGGGCTGCCTGGGACTTCCCCACAGCTCAGCTGGGGTTCCAAACCTGAGGATTGAGTGAGCTACATCATCTTCTTAACTCTGGGCCATTGACTTGAAAAGGCCATGAACCCTGCTCACGGTCAGGACTTCAGATTGTAGTTTTGATGGGCCCTGGGAGCCAGAGCTGGGGCAGAGCCTCTTCTTTGATCTCGACCCTCCACTCTGAGCTAGACCCTGCATCCTGAGCTATGCCCTATGCGAGACCCTTCTCTCTGAGCAGGCTCCTCTGTTCTTAGCTAGAAACTCTGCCTTGAGTGAGACTCTGCACCCTGAGCAAGCCTCGTGCCCTGAAATTAAGCTCCAATTCCAACATTTACCAAATGGGTCTCTTTGGTATTTTTAGGGCTTTGACCCCTGTCTCTTAGAACGAAGGAAGGAAGCCAGCATGGTGTGGGGCTCCATCCTCAGATGCACAAGCAATGTCAGATAGGCCTGGACCCACCCATAAGGCATGTTCTGTGAGTGGGCGAGGACCAGTGACAGAATTCATAGGATAACTGTGAAAATGGATTTTCAGATAGTCAGAGCTGGCTTAGCTGGAATGGGGCTTTTCAACAGCCTGGGAACACACGGAAGCTAAATTGACAATGATTTTTTCTCATTTGGTCTTTTCTTTCTGGATTGCTCTTTCTGGTCCTTTTTTTCTAGTCCTAACTCCTATTCAACCTTTGAGAATCAGCTCATGAATCATTTCCTCCCTTCCCTGAAACCCCTCACCTCCTCCCCAGAATGGACAAGTGACCTCTGTATTCCCATAATGCTCCAGATTATCTTTATTATTGCATTTGCCATATATTGCGATGACCTGCTTATGACTTTGTCCTGCCCGTGTCACACTCTCCCCCTCAACCCCCATCATCCTCAAAATAGGCTTAATTTTTCCCAGTTGAAGGATGAGGATCCTGAGGCTCATAGTGGCTAAGGACCTTGCCAAGAGGAGGCAAAGGATGCTGGATTTGTTCCCCAAGCCATGCTATGTCTACCACAGGACACTGCAGGACTCCAGACTTTGCCTTTTGTTGAGGCATGGACTTGTGTGCGGTTTGTGTAATTGTATTAGTCAACTAACTGCATTACTACAAGATTAACTTATGAAGGCCATTTAACTTATGAAGAAAGAACGACACATTAATTCACAGTTTGGGAGATTTAAAGTCCACCATCAGGCAGTCCCCATTGTTTCGGCCCCTGGTGAGGGCAGTGGGCATTAGCACATCATGGTGGGCACCAGTGTGTGTGGAAGAGCTCACATCACCAAATAGGAAGTGAGTGTGGGCGGTGGATACTCTGGTGTCACACAATCCCTTTTGAGTGCACTCCCTCAGTGACCTAAGGACCTCCCACAGTTTCCAGGGATTCCATCACCACCCAGTAGCACTGCCTTGGGGACCAAGACTGTAGTCACAAAGGACCCTTGGGGCACACTTAGACCACATTCAAAGCAGCAGCAACTGAAGCAGCAGGGGCAGTGCCACCAAGGGGGTGGCACAAGGGCCATCTTTGGGGTGATGTCGGTTGCCCATGCCTGGCATTGCTGTGCACACAAACAGTCCCACCAGTCCTCCTCCTCCGCACACGCTTACGCCAAGCCTTGCCGAGGCCACGGAGAGGCCAGGAGGAAATGAGAACCAGAGCGAGCGAAGCCCCAGCCTCCCCCCCCCACGGATGCATGGGACTGGTTTGAGCCCGAGCCAAAGAGCCAAAGCCCCTCTTCACGCCCTTATTCCTCCATTTCACAAAGGTGAGGAGAGCCCAGCCCTGGGGTTTGAGGGCTGGATTCCATTTCTATTAAGACTGCTGCTGGCCCCAAAAGATTAACTCACAGTCACCCTGTGAAAGCTGATCCAAGTGGAAAATCGAGTTAGAGAATTCCGCCTTCCCTTCCCTCACACCTCAGCAGATTAAGGGGAAGGTCTGAGGCTGAGTTATGGGGATTTATGGGAATGTGCAGTTGCTGCTTTTAAACGCTCACTCACTCTTTGGGATGTTGGCAACCTTGCTTCCTATAAATCGTTGCTGGTATTTCTTAGCCTTTCTTTGCCAGCAACGCGGAGGCCGGCAACACCTTTTCCGTGCAGTAGCCTGTGAAAATATTGAAGTCGGGCCCAGAAAAACACCAGCACAGAAAGGGGAAACTTTGATGTTTGCTAGTTATTTTCAGACAAACCTTGCCAAATCTTAATTTTTCTAGTTTACAAGTAAGGGATTCTGACCATCTGTCTGCTGTCAACCGATGTTTGTTTGGATGAACATTTTATTTTTTTTCTCCCAATCTAGCACTCCTGTTCTTACAAGTAGTTTATTGGACTTCATAAATGTCAGCTTTTTGCATGCATTTTGTAAGCAGCTTATGATTTAGTATTTAATCAAAATTGAGCAGTCAGCGTCTGTAATCAATCTGAAGCGGGAGTAACAATGAGATTGAAGCTCAGAATGTACCAGGACCACAATTTATGTCTCCCCACTGTCTCTGGAAGGACTAGGTTTGCCCCTGAAGTCATGGGTGTGGTTGAGCAATGGGGGAGATAAGCCCTTCTTCAGCTCCTACTATGTGCTATTTTGTGATTATGTTAGTTATCAACTGCCAACCTAATACTATATATCAAACCATCCCAAACTCAGAGGCTTGAAATATTTACTTTTTTTTTTTTTTTTTAGCTCATTGACCTATTGAGCCAGCTGTGGGATCTTTCTGGCCTTGCCTGGGCTCTTGTCATATCTAGGGATAGGTGAGCTATTGGGTGACCTTGGCTGACTTCATCTGGGACAAGTGGGGCTGCTCGGCTCTAGTCCTCGCGTTCTCATCCTCCAGCTGGCTAGCGAAGGCCTGTTGTCATGGTGATGGCAGAGCGCAAAGACAAGCAGACTCGGTCACGCAAGCACTCTCTCAAGCTTCTCTCCCATCACTTTTGTTAACATCCTGCCAGCCAAAGCAAACCACATGGCAGAACTCTGAATCAAAGAGCGGCGTCTTAGTCTGTGCAGGATGCTGTAACAAAATACTGAAACTGGGTGGCTTACAAACAGCAAAAATTTCTCATCGTTCTGCAGGCTGCAAATCCAAGATCAAGGTACAGGCAGATTTGGTACCTGGTGAGGGCCTACTTCCTGGCTCATAGATGCCATTTTCTCACTTTGTCCTCACATGGTTGAAGGGGCAAGGCAGTCAGTCCTCTGAGGCCTCTTCAATCGGGGAAAATCCTATTCGTGAGGGCTGCACCCTCAGGGCCAGTTACATCCCCACGTCCCACCCGTCCCTGAACAACATCACATTGGCGATTAGATTTCAGCATATGAGTTTTAAGGAGGTGTAAACATCACACCGTATCAGGGGATAGACTACATTTCTTTATAGTGAGAGGAGTTCCAAAGTCACAGGCAAAGGCTGTAGGCACCGGGAGGTGGAAGAAGCATCAGGGCCCTAACGCCATCCATCTGTCACTGTGATGCTCCAAACCCCACAAGGAAGGCGATTGTTATCCTTCCAATATCCAGATGGAGAAATTGAGGGATTGAGTCCTTTGCCAGTTTCTCAGCAGTCAGCCGTGGAGCTGGGATCCTTCGGTGGCCTGACTCTTAAGCTATTAACACATGACTTTTTGAACCTACTTTTGTGTGAGAATAGGTAAAACAAAGCCTGCAGTAGGCACCTTTGTTTGTCATTCTTATGTTAAAGGACAAAGGGTCCAGGAGGAGGCTGACACAGATGCCTGGCTGATTGTTCCTGTCCCAGAGCAGGGGAGGGGGCTTTGGAAGACACTGTCATTGCCTCCTGCTACTGCCCTGTGGAGCTCCCCAAGGGGTCGTACCTGGAGACTGAAGATTGGTGGAGCATCAAATCTGATGTTTTCTAAAAACTTCAGATTCATGGATTCCGGTGACCCTGGCCCCTTAGCTCTGCTCTCCTGGTCAAGGGACCCTGGCCCCTTAGCTCTGCTCTCCTTTATCCTTGATTCCCAGCTGGGGCGTGGAAAGTGCCCAGGAGCCAGGAAGGGCTAAGAGTGGCAGGCACTGATTGGCCAGACCAGCTGCAAGGAGCAGTGCTGAGATGGACGTAGGGACAGAAGAGGTGGCTCGCTCTCCTCTTCGATAGCAGCTTCCCTGATGCTAAGGCTCAGTTTCATGTTACAAAGACTAGGGGAAAACTGTCATGAGTGAAGCTCATGAGAGAAACTGGGGCATTGAACTTCCAGCTCCTCCCTGCCCCATACCTGTCTGCCTTCAGCCTCTGCCCCCCTTCCCACCACTGTGTCCTCCATTCTCTGGGCTCTTCCCAGTCCATCTCTCCATACTGGCCTCTCTGTGGGGATCAGCATATTAGTAAAAGAGCCAACTGACCTAGGTAGGCT